CTAGGCTTAGTTTCACCAATCTCAACCTTATTAAACACACCCAAGTATGGCTCAAACCCAACAACGGTTCTTACTTCGGTTGCTCAACTCAATGTGTTCACAAAAAACACAATATAGTGGCTACAATGAATAACCAAGAGTAGAGGAAGACATGTTCAATTTCAAGGCTCAAGAGAGGAAAAAAGAGAAAAATCGGCTGCTCTTTCTTCAATTGCACACACACTCGACTTATTTAACAATGAGGCTAATATATAGTTTTAGGGTGTAATAGTGGTGGACTAATATAGTGGGCTCATGGACCAACTAATGGTTAAAGGGGTCGGAACACAAAAGTTAGCCATCCAAGAAGTAAATGGGCCATGAGCAACATTAACTAGATTAAGTTGCTTCAAACGACCCTCAAGTGGTTTGTCGAGTTAAGCCAATTAATCGAGTGTGTTAATAAATATTTCAATCATCAGCCGAAGCCTATGAAATCTAATCCGACTATCCTGCACTGTTTAACATCATCACCTGGGATTATTGGGTATTAAAAACCCAACAATCTCCACCTTGATGCCCAATAATCTGCAAGTAACCAAAACACTGAGTTTAAACTTGCACAATCAAGGTAATCCAATAAAATTGGTATCTCAGACATTACCTCGTATTTCGAACCGAAACACAACCATACCTACTCCATTACTCACTGAGGCTAAGGTCCAAAAAACATCTAAGTAGGAACAAGTATCACAGTGAATAAATAATCACATGATGAAGATATTATATAAAATACTACACAGATCTTTTAAGAAAATCACGTTCACAAAGAACCAAAGATTAACAACAAGTTAATCAGCACATGGTCAAATACATATGCAACAAATGCATAAGTGACCCCACGCAAGATCTCACCACACTTATCATATCTCATTTCGTGTTACTCCCACCTCGAGAACACATATCTCCTCTTATTGCCCACCATGCTCACAAATAGATCACTCAACTCATGTCCAATTGGTAAGTCACAATAGATCCTAAGTCCACGGGATAATCCTCTATCACCACATCACTTCTTTCAACCTACGTGGATAATGGGCCTCCACCTTACAGAAGTGATAGAAGTGCCTCTTTCACATTCCACCTGTACAAGGTCTCTTTCACAGATAAATGATTTTACACATTTGATTACATCTCCACTCTTGATCCAAATGTCACACTCTATATCCCTCGGTACAAAACATTATGTACCCCTAGGCGTCTGTACTCCACCTTATCAAAAGACATCTAACATACTGCTAATGCATCCTAAACCCACTATGCATGCAAATGATCACACCCAATAATCACATTATCTCAAATTCATGCAAACACACATACCAAACAAATTGAAATACAACATATAATCATGCAACAAATTAGGCAATCGCACACATGCAGAAAAAGATCACACACAGATGCATATGTAGTGACTGGGTTTACTATCTCAATAAACCTCACTGGGGTCATAGCTCGACCCCTCAACCACATTCATTTCACCTCTCACATAACCTTTCTGCTTATCCTTCTTCTTGGGACAATCCCTAATAAAGTGTCCCGACTTACCACAACTATAACACCGCCTACCACTAGACTTGTCCCGTCCCTTGCCTTTCATCTTATCACTTTCATCACTTGAGTCACTACTCGAATCACCACTATTTTGAGCTCTACCCAAATTAATTTGCTTAAACTTCATCCTACTCCTTATCATATGTAACTCACCACTCCTTTTAATTTCATTTTTAGCCTTAATTTCCACCTCCTTACTCCTAAGTGAGTCTATGACAATCTCGAGGGTTAACGTATCCCTACCATACTTAATGACATTTTTAACATTCTTATATGACTCAGGCATGGAATTAAGCAGGATAATAGCCTTATATATTTCAGATATGATTTCTTCACAGTTAATAATATCTTGGACAAGTTTATTGAAAATATTCAGATTGTCATCAAGATCCTTTAAAGGATCCATTTTAAAAATGAAGAAACGCTCAAGAAGATAAAGTTTATTGGGAGTGGACATAAACAAATACAGATCTTCAAACTTTTTCCAAAGATCTTTTGTGGTTTTCAATTTTCCTACTTTTCTCAAAACAGCATTAGACAGATGTAAATGATTGAGGTATAAGCAAGCTCATCGGCTTCTTTTTGTTCTTTTGAAAAATTAACAGGAAAATTGCCTTCAATTGCTTTTGAAACCTTTTATTGAATCAAAATACCCTTCATTTTTTATTGCCAGATTGAAAAATCACATTTTTCATTAAAAATACCAACTTCGAAATGCGAAGACATTTTTGGAAAAATGAGGCAATCAAATGCACAAATAGATCACACAAAGTAATCCTACGGTCGCAATATACACCGTTCTAAATTTCTAAGGTTTTGTAAGATTCGTGGTCTTAGATTAAGGGAACGTTCAATGGGTAAGGTCTAGGTATTCTAACGAAAGTAACAACACAGTGAAATTTACGATGCAACAAGATAGGTATATCCAATCAAACAAAATTCACGGCAATTTTAACACAAAGCACAATACGCTAATTTATCCAAAAAATAAGTACTCACTCACAAAAGAGCAAGTAATCATAATTTCTAGCACAAGCAATGGTTGCCAAGCAATGACAACCTCCAATCCTAATGAGCACCCTACACGATGATCTGCTAATGCTGAAATTTAAGCTGAGATAAGCCAATTTACCAGAGTGGACCAATCTGAGTCCGTAAGTTATGAGAGACGCGAACTTACTGCTTTAGGGCTGCAATTTTGGCCTAAAGTAATCCAGTAAATATGTGGCAGTTTCGACCATTGATCCACTAAGGGCAAAATCGTCCAACTGTTTCTGTGTAACTGAAACAAAAAACTTCTAACACGAAAAATGTTAGAAGTAATGTGAGGAACGAAAAATATTAGAAGTAATGTGAGGAACAAACTGCCTGAAGACAACTTCCCCAAAATCGGAGCCACGCGCCCTCACACGCCGTCGCAGGGAACATGCGCCACACACCCAACACCGCCTCTACCTGCACGTCTCAACCACGGACTCCGTTTCACCAATGGACTTCTGGATTGACGGGAAATCGCGTTTACAGGTGCCTTTTTTGTGCAAAATTGGGTAGTTCGATTTTTCTATTTTCTGCCAGTTTCTAGTCAAATTTTGGCTGGAAATTCCACCCCAACCCCGCTCCGGTACTAGTGTTGTGTGGTATTGGAACTCTCTTACCCCAAAAGTTAGCTCAAGATATGAGACTTTTCCTTACACTTATAAACTGAATACCAACCCCAATGTGGGACAATCTCAACAATAATTAATGACAAACTTTTGAAAAAAGCAACTCCTCGTATTACACAAATTTGGATGCATATATTCCTCTACATTTCAGTCTATTTGATAGGTTCCTTATACACATATAGTCTTCACTCTTCAAGGCTGAGATGGACTCGGACACTAGCAGCATTGACAAAACTGAAAACTATGAAGATGATGCTTTTTACTTGGAACTGGAAATGTTGATTTTGCTATTAATGGCTGAAGATGAAAAGGATGAATCTGATAAAAAAGACAGAAATTCTGAAGTTGTAGAAGATAGCAGCAGAATAACTGGAGAGAATACAACAGTTCACAGAAACTATTACAATTGGTCAGTTTGTCAAAAAACGAGACCAATATTCTTTTATTTTCCCTCCGATTTCAGTGGAACTTGAGTGTTTATATGACATGTTATCAAGTCTAAATTATCAACTAACAAATGAAGTTCACGCTTTCCCTTTTCCATCAATTCTAGAGGTTGAGATACAGTCGACAAAGAGGGTATAGGGTAGAGAACATACAATAATTAGTAGTTCATATCTACTCGTAAGAAGTTGTAGTAACCTTGTTTCTTTTTGCCAATTTTCTAGTTTATGGTGCAAAAATGAATCGTGACTTATAGCAATTACTAATGGATTGAAGTAAGCATTTCTACTTTCTGAAGGATTTTAACAGTTTCCCTATAAAAAAACTTACATAATTTATCCTGTCTCTCCTGAATTTCTAGGAGAGCTACAAAAATTCTAGTATCAGAGCTGAATGGGCCATCTTTTGGTTGATCAAATCATTGGCTTGGTCTTACAGTGTTCTTGTTGATTATAGAATTCATTGTTGATCAAAATTATCCAACAGGTTTCGGGAACAACGTCCAACATTTTTTCTTTGTCATATTTGAGTTCTCAACTTTTCATTTTCACAACACTTATATCTCCGACGACGATTGTTGAAAATTACAAATATTGTTAAAAAGATAAGTTCACCCTATCTTCTAGCCTTTGTGTCATTATAAAAAGAAATTGGGGAAAATGAAGTTTTGAATAGTGACTTATTGGAGGATGTGTAGCGAAAAAGTAGGGAAAAGTTTTGAGTTTACGTACAAAATATTTTATTGTATGAATGTATAGTTGAAAATGAGTACGTGAAATAAAGAGTTTTAGTTTAATGGAAGTTAATCAGGGCTTTATTAAAACAAAGTATCAGAAAATAAATAAAAGAAGTGTAGAAATGGTCTAGCTAATTTTTCAAGTTGGCAACTTTGACCAAATATTTCGTGGTACATTTGATTGTCCAAAATTATTTTTAGATGAATGAGAAATTGAAGTCAACAGAGAAAATATTAAACTAGGAATGTGGAGTTGAAGAAGTGGGAGGAAAACTGAAAAGTTTCACATTAGAAAATGAGATGACGTGTTTAATTTGTGTTCTTGAGTCCAGACGATATATTTGGTAGAATAATTCTAAACAAACAGGCGCGGCAAGTGCTTCGGTTATCCTTATCGGAAGATGCTACAAGTACCAAATAGTTTACTTAATGATTTACCGAATTGACAAGTGGCGGCCTCCAATTGGGGCCGCCACTTGTCAATTCGATAATCCATTAGATAATCTATCCTTATCCTAAATTGTCTCCCATGTGGTACTACAATAACGAGACTATGGCGGCACATTATTGAATTAATAATGACTTCACGGGCCTTAATTTCTGTGTCTTTCGTTTACCAAAATCAAAACGCATACAGTTTTTGGAACGGTTGACTTGTAAACAAACTCTCCGATGCTTCTTTCGAAACAATAGCAATCGTTCTTCGGTAAGCTTGTTTACATTTGTTTTTACAAAAGTGAAAAAGCATTACGATCTTTTCTTTGAATTTTCATTTAGATATTGATTATAATCCATTTCATTTCATTGATGATAACTTGATAAAATACTTCTTCAGATAGGATACTGATTGAGAATTTGAATTTCTGGTTATAGCAATCCTATAATTACATTACATTATTTTCTTGTAGTGTATATATTATTCTTTGTTTTACAAGAGCTAAGAAAAAGAGGTTTCTCCTAATCAAGAAGTATAGGGTTTGTTTTTTTTCATTTTTTACCTGGTTCATGAATTACACTAGTCAATGTTCCTGTTGGATAACAAGGTCTATGGTTTTGATCAGTGAGCTGGAGATTGCTGATATCACTTGTGCTTACTTCTGAAGTGGCTTGAAAACCTCAACGATTTAATTTCTGCTGGTGATCCCGTGGACTGTGGGGAGTTGGTCAGCCAGTACTGTAGAGTATCACGAGTGTTTAGAGAATCATGGGTAACTGTTTTTCTTTTGCTCGTGATCACATGAAACGTCTGAAGTTGCTAATGAATGGCTTCCTTTCTCGTGATGATCAAGCGATGCATCTACATTTGCTAAAGGAGGACTTGCTTTCTCTTACTGGTGATGATCATGTCAAACATCCGAAGTTGCCAGAGAAGGATTTGATTTTTCCTGCTGATGATCAAGTGACACATCTGGAGTTAACAGAAAATGACTTGATTTCCCCTGCTGGTGATCAAGCGAAACATCTGGCATTGCCAGAGAAGTATTTGACTTCTCCTGCTGATGATCAAGTGACACGTCTGGAGTTGCCAGAGGATGATCATGTCAAACATCTGGAGTTGCCAGAGAAAGATTTGATTTCTCTGGCTGATGATCAAGCGAGACATTTGGAGTTGTCAGAGGGGGACTTGCTTTCTCCTACCGATGATGATCATGTCAAACATCTGGGGCTGCTGGAGAATGACTTGATTTCTCCTGCTGATGATCAAGTGAAACATCTGCAGTTGCCAGAGGACTTGCTTTCTGCTGCTGCTGATGATCATGTCAAATATCTGGAGTTTCCAGAGAAGGATTTGATTTCTCCTGCTGATGATCAAGTGAAACATCTGGAGTCGCCAGAAAATGACTTGATTTCCCCTGCTGGTGATCAAGCAAAACATCTGGAGTTGCCAGAGAATGGCTTGATTTTTCATGCTGATCCAGTGCGACATCTGGAATGGCTAGAAAATAATTGTGATTTCATTGTTCCTATTAAGGATCAAATTCAAACCCTTAAAGTGGAGTTAAGATTTCTGAGAACATATCTCAAGGGGTTGCAAGGGAAGGACCCAAAATACAGTCTTGGGGAGCCATTCAAAGGTTTTCTTGGAAATGCAGCATCTGAACTTTTTTCACTGTGCCTTGGACAATCAAGGGATAGAAGCATAACCAGAGACTTAGGGATTTTAATTTCTACGATGCAGGAAAAAATGTACCAGTGGAGGCCAGCTATCAAAAGAAATTATCTCAATGCCTATTTTGATTCAAAAAGAAACGATCCGGTGAAGAATAAACTTGTGATGGAATTGGTTGATTCTCTTCTAGAGAATCTGAAGGATCTCCAAAGCAGTGAGAACAATTCGATTGTATTAGTGAAAAGCCAACTTGAAGCCCTTGAAGAGAAGCTACTATTCATCAGAAATTTTTTCAGGTTTTCCACAATGCGGATCCCATCTCCTTGGCTGGTTGGATTGGGAGATTCTGGGGATGATAACAAACGTGAGATACTTGAAAGCCTTTTAACTCGTATAGAATATGTTGCTGACAATGCAGCATTTTTGTCTTACTGCTGTTTAGTTGACAAAGAACATGAAAATGTGCGTTTGAAGTGTAACTTCTTTTATTTGGTATGGATGATCGAGCATATTGAGCCGGAAGTCAAAGAGATATGTGTCAGATTTCTAAAAGAATTTGAGCCCTTAAATCTTGAAATTCTTCCATTCAATTTGTATAAAGTGGTGGCGATTGATTCTCTCCTGGACAATCTGGTGATGCTACATAACTGTGAGTCGCATTTTATGGCTCCTGTAAAGGATAATTTGTTAATACTTTATGACGAGCTGATATTCTTGAGAACCTTCCTCATGGATCCTCCACCAAGGAAGAATACAGAGAATGAGAAAATGGATAGCCTCTTGAATAATGTTGAACCTTTGTTTAGTGAGGCAGGATCTGTCATTGGTTCATTTTTGGACGAATTGGAAATTGACACTGCCAACAAAATGAACCTTTCTGCTTTGCTAGAGAAGATTAATCTCATTAAGTCAGAGGTCAGAGATCGTTATACCAGAAGACTAAATCATTTGCAATCGAACTCCCTTGGGATTGATGGAGTTGGTTACACTGAACCTTTGTTTAGTGAGGCAGGATCTGTCATTTGTTCATTTTTGGACAACATGGAAGTTGACAATGCCATCAAAATGAACCTTTCTGCTTTGCTAGAGAAAATTAATCTCATTAAGTCAGAGGTCAGGGATCGTTACACCGGAAGACTAAATCATTTGCAATCGAACTCCCTTGGGATTGATGGAGTGGGTTACATTGATTCCCTCTTGAAGAATCTGGTTGAGTTACTGAATTGTCAGGCAGATTCAATTGTTATTTTAAAGCATCAAATTGAATTGGTTCATGATGAGCTCAATTCTCTGAAATCTTCACTCGAGCATATTATAAGGAAGATTGAGAAGCAGTACCTGAAAGATCTTATGAAGCATGTTATGGATGTGGCTCACAAGGCAGAATATATTATAAACTCTTATGTGGTCAGAGATTGTCCCGTATGGAATCATATGCTGTGGATTTCCGATCTTCTTGAAGAGATTAAGCTTATAAAGGAGAAAATCAAACAGAAAATTAAAGACAAAAGCTCTTTCACAACGGAGACGAATGTTAGAAAGACTACCCCTCTCCGGTCTGCTCAGGCTCACACTGAAGTAGTGATTGGTTTCAAGGTTGAAGCCCAAGAAATTATTGAGCAGCTTATTGGAGGACCGAAACGGCGAGAGATCATCTCAATTGTAGGTATGGCCGGTCTTGGTAAAACGACTCTGGCCAAAAAAGTATATAATGATCCATCAGTTACCCATTATTTCGATGTGCGTGCCTGGTGTTGTGCTTCTCAAGCATATCAAAGGAGAGAGCTTCTGCTTGACATATTAAGTCATTTTATGGAGCTCACTGATACATCCTACCAAATGAGCGATGAAGATTTAGCTTTGTCACTCTACAAAAGTCTAAATGGAATGAGGTATCTTATTGTCATTGATGACGTGTGGATTATCGACCCATGGGACGATTTGAAACGAATTTTTCCAGATGACCAAATCGGAAGCAGAATTATGATCACAAGTCGAATTGATCATGCAGCTTTGCATACTGAACATAATAGCTCTCCACATTTTCTTCCACTGTTCTCTGAAGCAGAAAGTTGGGAATTATTACAGGCAAAGCTATTTCAGCAAGAAAAATGCCCTATGGAACTGGTGGAAGTTGGAAAGGAAATAGCGAGAAAATGTAGTGGGCTACCTCTTGCTGTTGTCGTAATAGCTGGACTGCTTGCAAAGATGGACAAGAAGAATGATCAGTGGAAAAAAGTAGCTAAAAGCTTGAGTTCTTTAGTTAGTGAATCAAGGCAGTATATGGACATGTTGGAACTGAGTTACAATCATCTGCCTCATCATCTAAAACCATGCTTTCTTTTCTTTGGAGCATTTGCAGCTAGCAAAGAAATTTCAGTAAATAAGCTGTTACGGTTATGGATCGCTGAAGGATTCGTTCAAAAAAGCAAGTTGAAGAGTGTAGAAGATACAGCAGAAGATTACCTGATGGATCTCATTTGTCGAAGCCTTGTAATAGCAGGCAAAAAAAGATCTAAAGGAGGGGTGAAAACATGTCATATTCATGATTTATTACATGATTTGTGCATGGCGAAAGCCAAACAAGAGAACTTTTTGAAGCAGATAAATGGGTATGATGAGCTTTATGCTCCTTATTTCGGGGGTTTTGATGTTCATTCTTTTGTTTATACACTTCCTCAGAAAATTCGGCTATCCATTTACTGTAGCCGGAATGATATTATTGCATGGAAACCTGCTAATAAACAAGTCTGCACTCTACTGTATTTTGCTACCGATGATAGGTATTCAGATTGGACCTATCCTTGGGATTTCTCAGCCATTTCCTACAGCTTGAAACTTCTTAAAGTGCTGGATTGGAGCTCCATCAGTTTTGGTGATATTTTTCCTTCTGGAATACAGTTTTTAGTTCATTTGAGGTACTTGGGAGTTAGAGGTGGTATGAATTCTATCCCTTCATCCATATCGAATCTTGTGAACCTTGAGGTTCTTTTTGTGAAAGGAGTAAAAGGAGAAGTTGTATTACCAGATACCATTTGGGAAATGGTAAGTTTGAGGCATCTACATATAGAACCCCGTGCTGCTTTCAGTTTGCCGAAAGGCAGGCCAGCCTTCCGATTACAGAATCTTGAAACACTTTGTACACCATGCTTTTCTTATGGGAATGATACAAAGAATCTGATAAGAGCTTTTCCAAGTCTTCGGAAATTGAAATGCATATTTATGGAATCATGGGATCCAGTCAGTGACTGTAATCGGTTTCCAGATCTGGAGTCTCTAAGTCGGCTCGAATCACTCAAGGTGATTTACCAAGGTATCTTGAGAAAAGTGCCCAAATTTAACTTCCCTTCACATCTTAAAAAATTGACCCTAAAGAACTTCTGCCTTCCATGGAGTGGAATCTCAGAAATTGCAACACTACCCAATCTTGAGGTTCTCAAATTATTATCTAGATCCTTTGTGGGGGAAATATGGGAAATGGGAGATGATGAGTTTCTTAAACTCAAATATTTGAAATTAGACGCTCTGAATTTGGCACAATGGAATGCTTCAAGTGATCACTTTCCTCATCTTGAGAGACTTGTGTTGCATAAGTGTGAGGATCTTGAAGAGATACCTTCGTGTTTAGGAAGAGTACCTAATCTGCAGCTGATTGAGATGGAGTGGTGCAAGAGATCTGCTGAAAATTCCGCCAGGCAAATTCAGGAAGAACAGAAGGATTTTGGAGGTGATATCATTATCAAGATAATCTCTAAAAAGGAGGTTCCTACACCATCTTCTGATTCACACTTACTCTGATACGTAAGTAAATCTGAACAATTAATGTCCTCGGTGTTCTTTAATTTCCTTCTTGTGTCACCTAGTATAAAACTGAGGGATTTACTTATCTTTTCTTATTAGCGACATTTTTACTCATTTGAATGATAAATATCTATATGTGGAGTTGTCATTAACACTTCATAATTAATTCTGTAAGTGTCGAAGACCAACTATGCCGCCAGCCACGGTGCATCACTTGTTCAAGTTTTAAATGCACGTGCTAATCTAAATTGAAGAAAATTCTTTTTGCATTTACCTTAACACTTTCTATTTATGCTGTATTTCTGTATCAGGACAATTAACTTCAAGCATTCCCTTGCTGAATATTTCCTGCTTCTTCTAATGTTCATATTCATCATTGTGGTGTTCAAGTATCTTGGTCATCGACACTTAAACTTCGTAAGTTTTTCCCCCTTTCAATCCAAGTATGATGCAATTCAACTGTATCAGTCAGCATTTCATTTTAAGCCCCCGTTTGGCCCCCATTTTGTAGAGTTAAAAATGGGTGAAATAGTATTTTTTTTTGAAAAATGAGCGGTTGAAAAGGAAGGAAAAGTTTTCGATTTATATATAATATTATTTTATGGAAAATTGTGTGATTGAAAATATGAGAGAGAAAAATGTAATGTAATGTAATAGAAATTAATGGGAGCCAAACGAGGGCTAAAATTTCTGCCTTTTACGTTATTCAATTTGACCAAGAATGGTGACATTCAAGTGTGTTCGTCCAGATGTGTTATTAGTATTTCCACTGTTTATATTCATCTAGCAGGGCGGCATCAAGAGTCTTGGTTCAATCAAGTTATCAGCATTTCATTTCCGATGTTTGTACCACTCCCAGCGTTCATATTTGTCAAGCATGGTGGCCTCAAATGACGAAAATGATCATTCCTTTATGATGTTACTACCTCTTTTGAGGTTCATAGCTAGCAAGCATTATGGGTTTCATTGTCGAAGTCTCTGCCTCTTCCAATGTTCATTTTCATCCAGCATGATGACGTGCAGGTGTCTCAGTCCACATTAACTATCAGCTTTTCATTTCTTCCCAAAGAAGTTGTGTTGTTTAGGCTATCATTTTCCTTTACGTTACATGTCCCATTCCAATAATGTTGATTCCCAGGAAATAAATCAGATTTTCAGTTGAAATAAGGGAATATGTGGGATTGTTGTTATTTATTAAAAAACATTTTGATGTTAAATAATTTTTGTCATGCGACTGTCCATATTTTTGGCTAATTATTCTTGTGAAGAACGAGTAGAGAAGGCATAATATGATATTATAGCCTTTGATGCTTGCGGTCATTATCTCTGAATAGGTAAATTTAATATATATAAATGTTTTTAATAGCTGAAACATGATTTCAATTCTATCTAGCAAGAAATAAACAATATGCCCTGATAGTTGATAGAAAACAGCTACTCTTAGTGATTCACACGAAATCAATCTAATGGTAAACAGATCATTTCATAGATACAGATGTAAGTTTCACAAATCCAGTCTCAGTTAATACTTAACTAAACAAATAGCACAGTAACATCAACCCACCAGCGAATAACTATAGAAATGCAACCTAATATTATGCGGGAATAGTCAGCTTGCAAAGGTTCTGAAAGATTAGCATGATCACGTAAAAGAACTGAAGTCAATCCTCAGGACGGGCCAACCATAAACAATTGAGAGCCTGAAGCCTCGACTTGTAATCATTAATGGCAAGAAGAGCACGGGCAGCTTGTCGGGTTGTCAAGATTCGATGCATTTGTTGCAAAGTCTGCCGTCTCAGAAGGTCGGCCTATTAAGAGCAAAAGTTCATGTTAATACCTTATTCACTTGAAACAAAACGTGTACATAATTTGGAACGGAATTTACTGGATAAGCAACAAAAATGGGGGAGGAGTCGCGGACGAGTTGTTACTTATATTTACTAGCTATGTTATAGAATCTCCTGCTTATGAGAGTTAAACGCACATTTACAATGGAGCACTCGCAATTTGAGAGCTATGTTAACTTTACCACTGCAGGTTTTCACACCAGTACTATAATGAAGAGGAAAAGTAAAAGGGATCTCATGCCACTTTGCGGCCCCAAAAAATGGGCTCTTTAAAATCCTTTATATATTCGGAATATTAAGCAACCTATCAGAATAACTGTTAAGATTTGGGGTCATCTTAATAAGGTCAACCTTGTTAAGAAGAGTGACCCAAGATCTATTTAAGTTAGCCAATATTTCGATATTTAACCGATGTGAGATTTATTCCCTTAACATGCCCCCGCAAGATGGTGGCTCTTTTTTAGCAGACCAATTTTGAAATTCGTATGTTCATTTTTGAGATTTAATCGAATCGAATAGCTCGTTGGAGCTTATTGGGCTCTGATACTATGTTAAGATTTGGGGTCCATCTTAATAAGGTCAATATTGATAAGAGGAGTGACCCAAAATCTATTTAAGTTGGCCAATATTTCAGTATTTAACCGATGTGAGATTTATTCCCTTAACAATAACCAACATTCGATCCAAGATCTACGGAACAAGTGTCAATTTTGATTAGATTTCATGCGGTCTAACAAATGCTCAAGTATTGGGTAAATACCCGATGAAGAAAATTCTCGAGTGTGGTGCCAATGACAATAGTCATTTGCCCCCACGTAGTTGCTGAAATTTACATAATCATGTACAGCGAAAAATAAAACAAATTTTAATTCATAATCCGATCAAAAAAAATTTCAATTCATACCAATGATCTTTTTTGTGTTTAGATAGAAATTGTACATTTCTTGAATTCTGCAAACTCGTTTGCTATTGTCTAGCCTCCAATTAGAATCTACATACGGAACAAGATTGAGAGAGAACTAGAGTTTTACTTTCTTGTGCTAGCAAGAATAATGAAAATCTTTACAATTTTCAAATTCTGGCTGCTTAATTATATAAGTCTAAACGGGTTTGGCCCGTCTCCTAACCCGGTCCAATATTTAATTAATTCATTTAATTAAATTCGGTCCTATTAATAAGCAACCAAATTAATTAATTATTCAACACTTGTTAATTAATTAATTGATAAATCTCATTCTTTTAGCTCTCTCTTTGTGTATGACCCATTAGGTTTCTAATCACGATACCAAATGACATAAATTATTATTTTGATCTAATCAAAATTAATAAATTAAAATGGATCCCAAATTGAAATTTAGAAACGTGTCAGGGCAATAAATGTGAATAGAATGTGAACGAGTCGAGTCAGCTCGGGCTTTTTTACGTCGAGCTTTTTTTTGGCCCGAATCGAGCAAAAGCTCGACCAAAAAATTAAGGCTTGACCCAATTTTTCAGCTAGTGGTATTGTCGAGCCGAGCCTGCTCGAATTTTATTCTCCCTTTACTGCCTGTTTGGCAACTATTTAGCTGCTAAACAAGCAGCTATAAAGCAGTTGAGGCAACATCAATGGCAACAAAAATGCTGCCTCAACGGGCAGCTTGGAGAACCTTTTTTTTTTTTTGCTTTTTTTTTTAAATTTAAACCGACCAGCCCGTATGGCTTGTTGGGCTCGAGCCGACTTCACAAAATGGGGCTCGGTGCCTTCGAACCTCAAGTCGGGCTGGCTCGAAATTTTTTCGGGCCGAGCTATGGGCAGCCTAAGCCAATAAGCCCGATTGTCATCCCTGCATGTGATGAAAAATGACATATGATATGACAAAATCAAACTTGTTCATTTACCGTGAAATTATATCTCTTCGTCACTATGATCTGATTAATTACGAGATATAAATAAGTGTCAATCTCAATTATCGATCATATCTTTCATTCCACTATTAAGTCAATACAAGTCCAAAATTCCTTTTGGGCTTATAAGTAAATCTTGGCCAAGGATTTCCTTATCAACTTAACTAAATGAAATGTAGATCATAATCTTTTACTATCTAATTCTCTATTAGTCATTCACAACTTTCATACAATTCAATATTATTTGTATTCGCACCCGCCTCGTTTTATTTTATCCAAAAAGAAGACCTTCAATACCATTAAACGGGGCGGGCCCCCGTTACCCATGCCCACCCAGTTTAATTTATTTTATTTTATTTTAATAATTCAATTCTTTAAATAGAAAAACTTACCTGTACCCGCCCCATACCCATCTCGGGGCGGAACTTCCTATATCGTACCCGACCCGATTATCGCCCCATTAGGGGCGGGTCCTGGGGTATTGAGTTTGACGGGTACTTTTGCCATCCCTAGTTAGTTTCCTTGTTGGAAAGCCCATATTTTGTGTAACTTCTATAACAATTAAGGTATTTCCCCTACTAGATTCCATTTCAGACTAATCGTATTAATATTTTTTTATTGAATAATGCTATTTATAATGAGGACTATCAATAGTCGTCGATATACATGTAGCTGTTTTTTATTTAATACATTAATGTTGAAGTTTTTAATATCTTCATGCATCAAATAACAATACGTCATATGTATGCATGAGTATTTATAGTTCTCACTATTTAATAGCATTACCCTTTATTATTGGAAAATTAGGTAAGATCATTAAGCCTCTGTTTTGTAAAAATTAAAATTAAAATTTTAATTTAAGTTAAAATTAACAATTAATTTTTAATTATATATTTCATGGAACTCACAACTTTTCAACTGCGCATTTTATCGACTTCAATTAGAATCTACTAAAAATCTGATTTAATCTCCACGAAACAATGCATAAGCTTATATTCGATTTTATTGAAAATTTCATTTGATTTAAGCTTCCTGCTTCCCTCTCAAAGCGACAGTTAATCATGAGTATTCATTTAATTTTATCATGAGTATTCATTTAATTTTGTCACATCAAATACATTAGATTTTGCATTTTATGTTTTATCATTTTGCCTTTAAAAATTGTTCTTTGTCAAGCGCTCAACATCATTTTTATTTAACCATTGTTTGGTAAAGATTAAAAACTAAATTTTAATCCATGTCAAGGTTGATAATTAATTTTAACCACATATTTCATGAAACTTACAAGTCACAACTTTCAACCACACATTTCATCAATTTTTACTAAAATCTACTAAAGATCTAATTTTAATTTCCAGTCTCCTCCGAACAAGTTAATATGCCAGTGTGGTATCATAGCTGACTTTATTATACCTTTTATTTGTCCATTTATTCGTTGTGGTTAAACTTAATAGATGCCATAGATTAATAGAAGAATTAAAAAAAAAAAAGTAGCATGTAAACTCATAATTCTTTCACTTTTTAATTAACCACTGACTCTTCAAAAAATTATTTTTCACCAAACATACGTTAAACAAACCCTTAATGTCTCAGTAAATTGGAAATTTCATTATAAGAAAAAAATTGCCTATTGCAACATGTAAAAGACAACATTCATTAATTGCATGTTGTTAAAAGGAGTCTATCGCAACATTCAATAAGTGTATGTTGCTATTAATTGACTAAATTGAGTTCTGACAACTTTTTTTAATGAATGTTCCTAATACACCATTTTGCAACGTTCGAGGTCTGTTGTCGTTAAATATTTTTTGCAATGCGTATTAATGCTTTAACAACGTACAATGCATGTTGTCGTTATTTATTTTTAGCAACAACAACGCACATTGCCATTAGATGTATTTAGCAATGCGCATTTGAACGTTGTCATTAATATTTTAGCATTAAAGACCACCGTGATGAATGTAAGTCTCTCTCTATGTAGATACCTTTTTATTCCATTTCTTGACCTAGATAGAGATTGATATATTTGATTTATTGTCAAATGTGTCAAGTCGAGCTAGTTTAAGAATGTCTAGGATACCTACCCTTGAAACTCGTAAATTTGTCCTAAGGTAGGTCGAGATGAGAAGGGTTGGGCACGACTAAACTTATTGTCTTTAGAGACTACGGCAATCTTGAAATTCGAGGAGTGTTATGAACAAGTAGAGAACTCTAAAATGCAACAATTGGTGGAGATGGAGAAGCAAAGGATGAAATTTATGAAGGAGATGGAGTTGCAAAGGATGCAGTTGTTCATGAAAACACAATTGGAGCTTTCACAATTGAAGAATAAGAGGAATGGAAACAAGAATAACACTGATTGTAGTAATTAAATTGATCCATTGAATAGAGCCGGCCCTGAGAATTTAGAGGCCTTAGATGTTTAATTATTATAAGGTCTCTCATATATATATATGCGCAAAACTTTATACAATTCAAAAGATGGAATAACAAAATAAAACTTCTTTCACAACCCCGAAAAAT